TGGTCACTAACTGTGACAGTGAAGTCTGGCTCTTTCTAGAAGCCCTTTAAATAGGCAAGTAATCAAATAGAGAAGAGTGAGAACCAGAGTATTTTTCTGATTTCTGCTACTAATGACAAGACTAATTAATTTCCCAGTTTGAAAGTTCAGTGTGGATGAACTACAGCTCACTAGTTCACTGGGGTGAAGTTTAGGGGAGGAAGCCTTTTGGGTCAAATCAGCAAATGAATAAATGAAAGAATGATGTGATGGAGGGTGGGCTTCCCAGAACCCAGAGGGTGGAGAAAGAAAGGATTTCTCAGGACATCTGGGTCTGAGTCTTTTCCCCACCAGGAGGAGGTGGTGCCCTGCTGAGGCTGTGTTCGATCCATGAACCAGAAGAGCCTTTTAAATGGAAGAGCACTACTGATCATTAACACTAGTTTTCTGTGAAATGGAGCTACAAAAGAGAAGAAGACGGGGTATAGCAAGAATTTTTTTTCAACTTTGGAAAATCCATACCCCAGGAAAGACACTGTGAATCCCAGGAGAAGTTCTGCATCTGTGTAAATTGGGAATTTACATCAAGTGAATATGGGGTCTCTTCCTGCCTATCCGTAGCGTACCTGCCACAATGTGAATACATATAGGTGGTCTGGGGACACTGGGACAAATTCTCACAGGACTGACTCCCACTAGGTGTGACTCCCTAATTTGGGTTCCTAGGCTTCCCTGGCTGTGACCTCACTGCAGACTTCTAAGCCTCAGGCTGGTCCTGGGCTTGGCAGATCCTATGTACTCCACTTCTGTAGGATGTAGAATTCTCTGGCACACTCTCTCCTGCTTCTGTGTGGGAATGCCTCATCATCCCACGAGGAGGCCTGCACCGCTTCCTTTTACCTTTGCATTGGCCTCCAGGAAGTTGTACAGCACATGCACAGAGATGGTGAGGTCCCCAATGTTGAAGGGATAGGATCGATTCCATCCCTGGGGCCCAAACTTTCGCCTTTCTGCCACCACTGCATGAAAGTAACAAAGAGCAAAGAGGATGCTCTTAAACTCTGTCTCTCTGGAACACATCTCCAGAGTGTCCTGGAAAACAAAAAGCATCACATGCAGCGCTGACAGTTTCCCTTGTACAGGGCCACCGAGTGGGGTTACAATTGGGGTTCATGCTGGATAAAGTCACGGTCTGTCCTGTTTAGCAACTGAACTACAGTGAGACGGAAGAGTGTACCAAGGCCAAGTGGGGGAAGGGGAGGGCATTTGAGTTTAGTTTTAAAAAATTATTTATTTTTATTAGTACATATTTGCAGCACATAATGATTATGTTCATTGCGAAGAGTTGGTACATTTACATAACATATTTTGTTTTCCTTTTCAATCTCTTTCTCTTCTCTCTCTTCCCCCTCCCTCTATCTCTTTCTTCCCTTTGTTTATTCAAAAGATTAATCTCCTTGTCTCCTATTATCTTTTACTTTGTTTGATATTTATATTTTGGGTTTCTTATAAAAGAGAAATTGTGTAATATTTAAGCTTGTGTGTTTGATTTATTTCACTGAATATTATGGTCTCAAAGTACATCCATTTTCCTACAGATGACTCATGTTTATCCTTTTTATGGCAGAGTAATACTCCATTGTGTATAAATACTACATGTTCTTTATCCATTCATTTGTGGATGGATATATAGGCTGCCTCCAAAATTTAGCTGTTATGATTTCTGCTGCTAGAAATATAGGTGTGTATGCATCATTGTCATGTGATATCTATAACATTTTAAGATTTAGATTTAGATTATAGTGGGTTTGGTTTATGATTCAAGTTTGTACATGTGGATGTACTAATTAGTTTCCCTAGCATAGCTAATGAAAATAAGGTAGTGGGCTACAGGAATGTAGGGTTGCTGTATGTTACTGTGCTCTGGGGTATGGGTGGGGATTCCCACAGTACCATCCCCAAACCTTCCCTCCCTGCCTGCTTTTCTTGCTAGTTATGGAACCTCAGCAGTGTAATTGCTTTTCATGTGACCGAGGCATCCCCAGCTCATCTGCTGGAGGAGCTGCTCTGATGGGAACCAGAGCCACAGGAAATAGAGGAGTGCGTGTCCTCTGCCCTCCCACTGCTGCCCCATACCCAAGTGGGGTGACAAGACATGGGGCCGAGGAAACAAGAGTACAGGGGGTTTCTAGTTACAGAGCACAAAGCAGGGGGAAGACACAGCTCCCCGAGAATGGATCAAAGAAGGGACAGATGGAAGAAAGAGGAGCTTAAAATCTGGTGCTTGGCAGATATTAAGGACCATGGTGGCGATGGCACAGAGGACGACAGCCTGCATTTTAAGGGAAAATAAGATGGGAGCGCCTGGACTCTTTGGAATGAAAAATCACCCTCTGGGTGCGACTTTCTGTCCAGGTAAGATGTGGCAGTTGGAGCCCAGGAGAAGCACTTTCAGAGCTCTCACTAATTGAATTGGATTCACTCCTGTCATTTGTTCTAGGAATTAGCCTCTGACTGCTTGCATGGGCAGCAACACCAGAGGAAACAGGACAGAGTGAGCTTCTGGCAAGTCTGGTTTTCCCACAGAGAAGCCAGGGCATGGCCTCTGTCTCTTTCTGACATGTAGGGCCCCTGCAATGCCTTCACTGGGTACCACACTTGCCGCAAAGCGATGGGTATGAAAGGCCAGAGGACAAGGCCATTGTCTTGTGCGGCCAAGAATTTAATAGCTGCTTCCTGGGTAGAACTTTTCTCTACAGGCAAGTAGGGTGCTTCATTTGCTACTTCCTACACAGACCAAAAAAACTGGATCTTGCTGAAAAATGCCTTTAAGCACAAAGACAAGAAATCTTATATTAAAATGCCAACACTGGCTGACAGTGACAAACTCACATAAAAGTCAGAATCAAATAATTATCCCCAGACAGCACAGCTATCATGGAAGCAGGAATTAAAAAGAGATCAGTTCTGCAATATATCCTTTAAGTGGTTAAAAACGGGGCTGAAGAAACAGAGGGAAGGCTGTGCAGGCCTCTGCTCTGGGGTGTTCATGAAAGCAAAATAGGGCAATTAAAACTCCTGTAGGAACAGGGAGGTAGACTGTGGGAAAGAGAAGGGAAGCTGAGGATGGGGAGATAGGAGGGTGAAGAGGAGAAGGGGGAAGGAGAAAGGATTAGGATGTGATACATATATGTACCAATTCCCCAAGAAGAATGTAATTATTAGGCATTGCAAACATGCTAATGAAAAGGGTTAGGGGAAGTGGGAGGGGAAGGGGAAAGGAAAGAAGAGAAAGGGAAAATTATGAGAAAAGAAAAACATGGAAACAAAGTCTTTGTAAATAGGGAAGGGTGGAGGGGGTGAAGGACGCACAGGTAATGGGGAAAAAATAAGAACCAAGATACATCATTTACAGATACAACCACCCAATGATAAATGTAAACGTATTGTATACCTAAAATGTACCGATAAAAGAATTTAAGGAAAAAATATGATAAAATTCTTAAAGCCAAAAAAACACAAAAAACTCTTGTAAACTATGAATGTCCTCATGAATTGATCTCTTTCTCAGAATGAGTTTCTGAGGGTGGCCATAAACGATGACTGAACTCATCTGTAGCAGGGATAGAATAACTCAACAGAGACTGCATCTCTTGGGGTATATTTTGCAGTTGTCCAATGATCAAGATTTGCAGGCAAAAGGGCTCAAGAACCTCAGCCCATGGGGATGCCAAGACAATGCAGGCAGGTGTGGCTATAGATGAGAATACTACGCTAAGACGCTAACAGGAAGTATAGTGTGTGAGGCATCTGCTGCCCCCTCCTGCCTTTGCTTCAGGCCCTCAATGCAAGGCAACTGAGAATGGTTGGTTTGCCATGGGAGCCTTCTACAGAACTCCCTAACCGCATCCTAATGCCTTTTATCCCCCTTTCAATTTTTTAAAAATTGTGTTGAAATACACATGATATATTTACCATTATCATCATTTTTTTTTGTTGTTTGGTAGCGGAGATTGAACTCAGGACCTTGCACTTGCGAGGCAGGCAGGTGTCGGAACTACTGAGCTGAATCCCTGGCCCTATCACCATTTTTAAATGTACTGTTTAGTGACGTTATGTGCACTCACATTGTTGTGTAGTTCAGTGCTTTATTTGTTTGGTTATGTTTATGGTGCTGGGGATCAAGCCCAGAGATGCTCTGCCATTGAGTTACATCTCCATCTTTTTATTTATTTAATTTTTTTTCAGTACTGGGGATTGAACTCAGGACCTTGCATTTGCAAGACGCAAGACAGGCGTGGTGACACTGAACTAAATCCCCGGCTCTTTCCCCATCTTTTAAAAAATTTTATTTTGAAACAGGGTCTTGCTAAGTTGCTCAGGCTACTCTAGAACTTGTGATGTTCTTGCTTCAGCCTCCTGAATACCTGGGATGACATAAATATGGAATCACTTCCCAATCCCTTTTAAGGGCAGAACTTTCTTTCTCTGCTCAAGCCTCCTGTAAGGAAGGCTGTAAATGTCAAACTTAAGCATGTGTGTTTCCCCTACATAGAATAGAAAAGCTAGAAAATTTAGAAGTTTTGGCCTCTGTACTCTAGTTCAGAGTATCTAAGAGGTTCTTGAAGGCCCATTTGGGAAAAAAGAAAAAAAGAAAGAAAAGAAGATGCCCATGGAAAGGGGAGCACCCCACCTTTGCCCTGTGATACAAAGGACAGGATGTTTCTTAACAAAATCTTCAAAAATCTCCTGGTGCTAGCCCACCATTCTCTGTTCTACTGGATGTATGGATTTTGGAGTTAGGTTGGAAAGAGTAGTAAAGAACAGGATACTGAACAGGTTTTGCTTCCCAAACATTGTGGTTGTTTCCCACTCTGAGTTGGACTGTGTAACTCCTATGGTATGAAGGTATCGTGTAGTCAGTAAAATCTTTGGAGACTTAGATAGCTACATGTTCTCCATCTCCTTTTAAGTTAAACCAGGCTCCAAAGGGCTAAAAGCCCTGAGGTTTATACTGGGTTTTCTGGGACAGTTGTCCTGTTGGATGGCTCTTAACATTTCAAGTTTTTGGATGGATGACTTGTCTGGGACTAGAGTTTTAGCTTCTGTGAAACTGGAGACTCATTGGTGCTCTTTTAAGATGATATCAGAGAGAAAACCTCACCAACAGTGCCTAGAAACTTCTCCTTAGATGCCCACAAGGTTTAGTGTGGTGGATGGACTGTTGACCACTGGGTACTCATATAAACACTTTTGTGTACTCCCCTTCCAAGGAAGGAGGAAGTTCCCAAGGGAGAAACAGCAAGAAATACTGCCTTTCTTAGAAGATGAAAGGGGCCTGAGCTGCAGACCTCACAGGTGCTACTTCATATCCTTGACAGGTTGCCCAAGGCCTGGCCTTGCCTTTAAATAAACACTGTATAGCATTAGTCTTGGAATTGTCAGTGGTGGAAATTCTAGTAATATAGCTGGCATTTGAGCCCTGTGTCTTGATATTCTGGGTCTTTCTGAAGCATAGTGTTCTCAAGATTTACTGTGCATGAAAATCACTTGGAAGATTTGCTAAAACACACATTCCTGGGTCCCACCCCTGATTCTGGCTCAGAAGGCCTGGAGTGGGGCCTGAAACTTGCATTTCCAACACATTCAGAGAGACTCTGTGCACATTCCAATTCCCCAGTACCTGACACCTGGATAATATGAACCCTCCATACTATAGATTCATGCAGATGGCAAGAAATGTCATCTGAATGAAACCATCATCTCTCTGCTTTAAAGATAGGCAGCTCAGCCAGTAAATACGTGACTAAGTATATCATATCTATTAGTTTTATAGCCACATGCTGTTCTCCATCTTGGAATATTAGTTAACAGTAGAGTTGCAGAAAGTCCCTTGACATCTCTTGCCAAAGAAAGGCCCTATACTTGATTCCTCTAGCTGCATCTGGCAACTGCAAGCTGGGGTTGTATGGAGTGGGCACTGGGTGGAGGTCAACTGCACAGGGAGCACATTTCACCTCTATCAGCATTGATGTGTACCCACCTGGCATTCTACCCCACACCCAGGTACTAATTTGAAGCAGCTCTTTGTGAGGTGTGGTGCCCTTCTTCCCTTGCACCCAGGCAGTACCTGAGTGAAATTGTCCAGGGCCTTGTGCAGGTTGGCATGCATACCCGTGGGGGGCTCATTGGTGATCTTAATGGAGTTCTCCAGGATGCCCTGAGGGATGATGTGGCCCTCAGGGAAGGGCGCAGGCTCGGCACTGATGAAGACCCTGAACTCTGGATGGCTGTTCTCACTGTGCTCCTCCAGCTTCTTCTCCAGGGTGCTGAGCCATTTGGCTACCAGGTGGATGTTCTGGTGGGAAGGAAGCAACCCCCCCATGCAGGATCTGTTTAGCTTTGTTGGCAATAAACAATTATTTGACAGGCAGCTAGAGGGGGGATTTGGTCTTAGCTTCACATAATTTTTAAAAATGTGGTAAGATAGACATAAGATAAAATTTATAATCTCAATCATTTTTTAGTGTTTAGTGTATCTATTTAAGTGTTCAAATGTATTATGTGCATTCACATTGTTGTGCAATTAAACACCTTTCAGTAGCTGAAATGTCTTAAACCACATCATAGAAAGTGTCTTGGAGTAATGGAGACCTGTTACTACGCTGCAAATTGAACCTGATCACTGCATGATCCTAAAGTTTTCTAGCATAGTGATCTCCAGCTTGACTGTGGATAAGAATTCCCCGGGAGACTTACTAAAACACAGACTGCTGGTTTCCATCTCAGAATTTCTGATTCAATAGGTCAAAAGTGGAACCTGGGCATTTGCATTTCTGAACAGTACTTAGGTGATCTTGATGCCACTTTGTGATCAGCTTGGGAAGTCTAATTCATGGTTGCTTCCTGGTCCACTTCCCCACTACTTGATGCTTAGATTAATAGAACCCTCAAGCATCAAAAAGGAGTGCATGGACCAGCTCTGTGGGCATGGTACCTGGGATTTGGTGAGAATGCAGGATCATATGCCCCACACAGACCTACTCAATCAGCACATTTTAATGAGATCCTTCAATAATTTGAATCCGTGTTGAAATTTGGAAGGGGCTGATTTAAACTCCTAGCTAGCTTTCCTGAGTTGTCTTTCCCCCCTCCAAACCATTCTGCTAATTGTTGCCAAACTTATCTTCCTAAAATACACTAGTCATTACTGCTCACAAGACTCACAATGGCTCCCTACTCCAACCCAAGCTCTTTTGTCTGTTATTTGATCATTCCTACTTCCCTAAAATATGATTCTTATTTGCCCATCTGTCTTTCCCTCAAGTCTTGAATTTATTTCTTAGCATTAAGAGTAATGCTAAGAATATACCTTTCACTTTGGTAACAATAGTCACTTGGCTTCCTTGAAATGTTTCATTGTGATGAATAGATAAAAGCTCCTCAATCGATATTTGAGGAAGTAGGTTTGTAGAGCCTAAACACACAGATTAGCATTGAGCACACTACAGGACCACAGTAATTTGGTTTCTGAATGCTGTTTTATCTTCGACAGAAAGAGGAATAACAATAATGTTGCCATTGTTATTTCACAGTTCCTGAAAATAACTAAAAGTAATGGATTTGAAAAGGATTTGTATACTGTAAAATGCTATGGAAGAGTTAGCAGTGGAAGCTGAAATAAAGATTTGTTAAATAACTCATTTATAATCGCTCTATGAGAGCAGATAGTTTAGTGGGCTTTGCAGAAAGCCAGGGTTCCTGTTACCTAGCAGCACTGAGAAGTCACAAGTAAATCAGGTGCTTCAGGTACTCCAACTTCTGCTTTTGGGGCAGGGTAGGGGAGGGCAGGGCTGTGTTGTGCTGGGAGGAAGAGCTTCTGTTGCTTGGAGATAGAATCCTGGGATGGACTCAAGGACCTGAATTTGTCCTGCTAGGTTTACAGCCCTGGATTTCCCAGGGTTAAGGCCTGGGAAACCCACCCATAGCAATTACAGCAAATTAGGAAGACAGCCTTGGGGTGACACACAGCTTATAAGAAACAGCTTTCTTGGGCCGGGGATTTAGCTCAGTGGTTTCGCTGCCTGCTGTGCAAGTGCAAGGACCCGAGTTTGATCCCAGGTACAAAAACAAAACAAAACAAAACAAAAAACAGCTTTCTCATGAGGGGCTGCCAATAGCAGTTCCCAAAAGTGCTCCATGAGATGTTGTAATAGACGTTAGATCCATTTGGGAAACACTGGATCGAACAAGATATTTATACCACAGGATTCTTAGAGCCATTCACTTATGGGTATCATTGACAGTCTTGAAAGGGACATAGTATGAAGTGTTTTCTAGATTTTGAAAGAGGAACTTGTTAACTGCTTTTCCTTTTCCCCCTCCAGACTCTCAGGTTCCTGGGCTTGGAAACACTGTCGCATAAGATTTCAGCCTAGTCTAGTTCAGTACACCAGGGAATCCTTAAAAAACAAGGTAGTCACAAGTCTTAAGATGATATCACAAACCAGCAGAGATCTTTTGCATCTGTTAGCCCTTTACAGTTTTTTACAGATCATACCTACTGCACAATCAGATATTTCATTCAAGAGGAAAGGAAGGGATCCAGATTGTATGGTGCTCACGGGAGAAAAACTTTCCGTAAAAATGCCTAGTCATTAGGAATTAAAGAGGCACCTTTGAACTCAATCTGTGAGTGCTCTCAGAAGCCACATCAGCAGAAAATGTGGAGTTCTTGGGTGGTCAGTAGGTGCTGGGGAAACTCTCCTCATTGTCTGAGTGGGGTCCTCGGAGCCAGCACCACAGTGCCAGAAATGCTCTGACCTCCAGGCTGTGTGGCTGCTTCCCCAGGGCACACGTATTCAGAGGGAGGAGGGGAGTCACACTTCCCAGCATGTAGGAAGAAGCAGGGAATCCAGCTGCTGTCATCTTTTCTCCTGGGATTCCCGCTGCTTCCTGAAAAGTAGTCCCAGGGAACCGCAGATCCTTTCTTTGCTAGCTCCCAATAAATACAGGATAATTAAGGATGAAGACTCAATAGCAAGATGTGGTGCAGTGAGTCATCAGGAGACAGATGAAGTTTGTGGTAATGAAAGCCAGTTCAGGATGAGAATGACTGGTTTTCCACTCAATCTTTAATTTCTTCATCGATTCTCTCAGCCAATGGGCTGTTTTTGTTTTTGTTTTTTTTTTTGTACTGAAGATTAAACCCAGGGCCTCACACATGCTAGGGAAATGCTCTATCACTAAGCTGTACCTGCAGTTCCTTTTAAATGAGCCTTTATCCCTTAGTGAGTGTCTTATTAAATTGCCCAAGCTGGCCTGGAACCTGCAATCTCCCTGTCCCTCTTTGAGTAAGCTAGGATCACAGGCATGTGCCACTAGGCCGGCCAACAGGCTTTTATTTTTGGTACTCAGGGATTGAACTCAGGACCTTGCACTTGCCAGGCTGGTGCAGGTGCCCCTGAGCTACATCCCTGGCCCAACAGGGTTTTTATTGATAAACTACTAGGTTTAAGATAGTGAGCTTGATGAGCAAAGGCAAATAAGAAACATCACTTTCCTAAGGAAATTTAGTGAAGAATAAATCATATAACAAATTATGTCAACACAATAATAGAGGACACTCTGATGGAAGTGATTGTAGTACATCAGAGAAAAGAGGAGAAAGCCACTTATTCTGCCATAACCCTCTAGGAGTTGCATGAAAGATGATTAAGAAAACAGGTTTTGAAAGAAGAGTTGTGACTCTTTCTGCTCTTTTCAATGGAGAAATTACCAACAGTAGATGTTCCAGATTCTCAGACACCAATGTGACTTTTCAGGGAAGAAGTTCATGTGGCTCCCATTTTTCAGTCACACACATGATCAAAAACGTATAACACAATAGAAAAGCATACCTGGGGAAATTCTAATTTATAGGAAGGAATCTACAGCTAAAAGAGCCCACTGCCATGGCCTTCAACTAGACGCCACCTTCTTGAACATGCATCAAAGCAGCATCCGCTTTCTTTTATAAGTAGAACTATTTACACTAGAGAGAGAAGTGGAGCAGGTGAATGGGAAGAAGAGTTGGAGGTGCAGGTGGCAGGGAGAAGAGGATGCATGAGTGAGGGGCATTGGGAAGAGAGAAGATAAGGGTGTGAAGGAGGCAAGGCCATAGAAGGACAGGTGGGTGAAAGATGAGAGTGCACCAAGATCATGGGGTGAAGACTAAATAGGCATTGGGTCAAGAATGACCCAGATCAGGGCAGAGGTGACGTACCTGCAAAATAACCCAGTGGCCTTTCTTGGCAGCTAGGTCTAATGCAGCTTCAGCCACAATCTCCTGTCCTTGTCCCAAAGACACGTTGTGAAAGTTCCGATTGTTAAAAGTATATCCGAGTTTTCTTCCTAAAAGGAGTATGAAGTTGTTATGATCATTGCTTGAGTCGAATGATTGTGTTGTTTAATGTTCATAAGGAAATGCGTAGCTCCACATCACCTCCAAAGCTGGTGGGCTGGTGATCCTGTCCAGTATGGCTCCTATTTGATATCCACTAACCTACATAGTGCTGGTGTGGAAAAGGTCAGAGAATGAGCATGTAGGTTTGGTCCCCTCTGGTTTGTTTTGTACTCTGAATGTATACAGTCTCTTCCCTGGAGCATTACTAGGAGATGTGGCCAAGAGGGCAGGATTCAGTTAGTTCTAGCTTTCTGTGTTTTACACTACATTCACTTCTTCCCTTATTCTCAATACATAAAATTTTGTTTGATTAATTTGTATGAATCAGAGTTAAGAGAGGAAAGAGGCAAAATTAAGGGGCTTGGTTGCACAGGTGTGAATATTTTGTTGTATGTATCTTGATAAGTTTTTCTGATGTTCAAAACAAAGTAAAGGAATGACCATAAAAACAAAGTATCATAATCATACCTTTAAAGCAAGGTCATTTAACCCAGGTATTCCCCTGCTGGGTATCTTCCCAAAAGAATTAAAAGAATTATATCACAATGAAATATGCTCACTCATATTTATAGATGGTACAGTTTGTAATAGCTAGAACTTGGAAACAGCCCAAATGCCCATCAACTGGAGATCGTATAAAGAAAATGTGGTTTTTCTATAAAATGGAGTACTACTCAGCCATAAAGAACGAGAAACTAGAGACATTTATAGCTAACTGGATGCACATTGAGGCCATACTCTTATGTGAAATAAATAGGACACACATATGTAAATACCGAATAGTTTCTCTGGTGTGAAAAATTAAAAGTGTAAATAAGGATCAAAATACATAATTGATATTGTGAAGTAGGAAGAAAAGGTCTAAAGGAGTAGGGGACGTGGGAAGGGTAGGGGAAAGAAAAGAAGGGAAAAGAAAAAATATGAGAAAAGGAAAAAAATGGAAACAAAGTCTTTGTAAATAGGGAAGGGAGGAGGAGGTGAAGGGAGGGCAGGGAATGGGGAAAAAATAAGAATCAAGATACATCATGTAAAGGTACAAGATCCCAATGATGAATGTAACTGTATTTATACCTAAAATGTACCAATAAACTTAATGAAAAAAATAAAATAAAACACTGTATATGCAAAAAAAAAAAATAATAAAGCAAGGCCAATGCTCATGAGTTATTCTCCAAGACCAAAGAACACTTAATACAAAAAAATGGCCTTAATATAGAAGACCAATTCTGATTACATATTAGCTATTAGCCCAATCCAATAAAGTTTAAAGAAATTATATATCATTCTTTAGATAAAAGGATTATAAAAATGTATACCACAAAGAAATCATCAAATAATTTTTCTAGGGAAGTGAGGTGGATAAGAAATTAAAAAAAAAGAATAAAAATATGTCCTCAGAATATTTATTCTCAGAGGAAATAAAATGGTACTTGTGCAAGAAAGGTTTTGAAAAAACCTGTTAATAGTGGATATTTCTTTTAAATACAAAAGGAAAACATATGGATTCTCTTTCAAGTGAATAGAACAACCAAGATGATGACTTTTTGTATTGAGAAATAGTTATTATAGATTCAACTGAGATGAACCCAAGAAATACTTTTATTAAACTCTATAAATCCTACCTGGCAATACATTTGATGTCAGCTTTAAAACTTGGGAGATAAACAACTAATTCCAGAGAAAATACCAGGATAAAAGATGCTGGGATTATTAGATGGCTTCCATGATGCTTTTACTCACAAAGGAGGCTATTTATTTTCTTTATTTGTGAGAGAAGGATATGTGGAAAGAGGCACTTAATAAAGATTCTTTTGAAAACCACAGATTGGAGGGGTTGTAGGTGGGGGCAAAGCCCAGCTTTGCCGAGCCCAGTTAGGATCAGTCTGCATTAATCTAGGCTTGAGGCTGAGAAGAAAAAAATGGGCCTTGGAAACATTGAAAAGGTGAAAAGCTGATCCGCCTCTCACGGCTTCACCACTTAGCCAAACATGACTGTGTCACATGGTAGTCTCACAACCTGTGAGGTCAGCTTGCAGAATCCTTCCATTGGCTACTTGAGGTTATCAAGACACCTTCTAGGTCATGATTTGTTTGTTGTTTTTGGTACCAGGGATCGAACTCGGGTCCTTGTGCTTGTGAGGCAGGTGGCAGAACCATTGAGCTAAACCCCTGGCCCACCTTCATATTGTTTTATGCTATGGCTTCATGCCCTCACCTCCACTACTCATCTCTCCCTCCCTTCCTTCCTTCCTTCCTTCCTCCCTCCCCCCCACCTCTCTCTCTCTCTCTCTCTCTCTCTCTCTCTCTTTCTTTCTTTCTTTCTCTTTCTTCATACTGGGGATTGAACTTGGGTCCTTGCGCTTGCGAGGCAGGCAGCAGAGCCACTGAGCTAAAACCCCTGCCCCTCATCTCTCCCTTTCTGACTTTCCGTCCAGCTCTCCAAATGGTGGTGTCACCTGGAACCACAGCAAACCCCTTTGACCTCTTCACGGTGCACTTCCTCTTCTCTCCATTTCTTCAAGGACACTGTGACTCTTACATACCTCTGTTGAGTTCCATACAGCTATGGGGCTTGGAGGAAGGGAAACATTTTCCCAATATTCTCTTGCTACTGGCAGGCTCTTTGTTTTCTGCCCTCATATCAAACCCTTCCCATCTGAAAGCACATGTTATCTGGCTATATTATCTATTAATATCTATCTATTAATGTTCTCTGGTTCCTACCAACTTTCCAGTGAAACTGACTTCTATGAGGGGCTATGAACTTGGTTCTACTTCATTGTTATCCTAGTAAACTTGAATGTTTTTTTGGAAGTCTTGGCCAACAACCAGCTTCATGCTTCCTTATCTTCCTTATCTTCAAAGAACTCCATTCCACTTCTGCTGCGCACTCGGTGTGGCTGCACCCTGGACTTTATCATCACTGAGAATTGTCCCATGGCTGAAATTCCGTTTTTTTATATCCACTGTTGACTATTTGTTTTATTTGAGATGAAGTGTTGTTATGTTCCACGGGCTGACCTCAAACTCCTAGATTCAAATCATCTCCTTGCCTCAGACACCTGAGTAGCTGGGGTTATAGGCATGCAGCATCATACCTAGCTCCTCTACTTTTTCTAATCATTACCTTTACATTTTGTATTATTTTAGTGTGAACCCAGAAATGCTTAACTCGAACCGTAATCGTGTAAATCCTCAAATCTGTTCTCCTTTCCTTATATAACTTTTATAAACCGTCAACTCTGGATGAATCCAAACATTAGTAAAAGAGAAAAATTAATACATTCCATGAGTTGGTGCCACTGCAAGGTCATGATTCTCAACACCCCTGCTAATGGGTACTCATTTTGTGTGTCCAGGAGTTGGCTAAATGACCCATCCCTCTCTATCATTAAGCTTAATGGACCCCACCTTTTTACTCTCAGCACTTGGATTCAGTTGCTACTATTAGACAACATATAGTACCTACTAGAGACTCCTTTGGCTTACTGCCATTTTATTTGCATCTGTGCACATCCCTCTCTTAATAAGAAGGGTACACTTTGCCTGCCTGCCACTCTGTTCTCTAAATCCCATCTCTTCCTGTATCTTAAATGTTTTTCTGTTCACTCTCCTGCTCTCTGGAATATGAAAAAATAAATTTCTTTCATTACAAAAAAATAATACTTCATGAATCCTGAAGCAACTCTTTAAAGACTACATTTGCCCCAATCTAATTTTTGTTTTTGTACTTGGGATTGAATTTGCACTGAGCTACATCCCTGGTCCTTTTATAAAAAAATTTTTTTTTGAGACACTCAGTAAGTTGCCCAGACTGGTCTCAAACTTTTGATTCTCTTGCCTCAGCCTCCTAGAGTGCTGGAATCACAAGTGTGTGCCACCACACTAGGCTCTAATCCACTTCTAATTGCCTCCTGAGAAAAGAGAATGGGGCTAGGCACGCTAAAAAAGTGACTTGATGCAAAGTATCAATGATCTGGCTGCAAAGATACTAAGTTACTTCAGTGAACTCGTTATTCTGACCAGAGCATTAGAGAGAGAAAGGAGGCAGCAGAAGTCAAAGGTGGGATACACAGCTTCTTTCTGATCACAAAATAGAAGCGGCAGAATTCACTTTGTCAAATCCAGGTCCTTGAACAAAGGAGGAAGGTGACCAAGCAAGATCATGCTATTGACAAGTGAAAGAAAGACCAGGGAAGATGCCCGTGTAAGAGTGGTGAGGGAAAGGCCAAAGACGCAGCTCCTCTTTGAAAACCTGCGACAAGCAGACATGAAGAAAGGAGCCCACTGAGCTGACTCCAAGAACAGATGAGGTATCATCATTAAAGGGCTGCAAAACGCTACTGTACTTTAACTTTTCAAAGTCTTTTCACATCTGAGATTTCATTTTTATCTTGAGTAACTCGAGGGGGTAGGAAGACATCTTGAGCAATAAAAAATGAGGGAGAAGAAGGTGAAGCCGAAGTGAAAATAAATGAGCAAATAAGGCAATGTGGCTCATTTGGGAAGCAGGTGATGAGGAAAGAGAGAGAAGAAAGGTACAGTTAAAGCACTGCTAAAAGATGAATCAGAAATGCAAGCAGGAAAACAATGAGGATGGATGGTGGTAGACTCATATTAAGACAGAGGCCAGGAAAGTGGGTAGGATTTCGTCTTCCTCACCCTCCTCTTCCACAAATATTCAGGAAGGAAAATCTTGGGAGGATACTAAATGACAGAAAAGGACCAGAAAAATATAGGTCCCTGAACAAAAGTCAGTGGAGGAGGGAGCTGAGGGAAGTTGCAATTTGTCTATCTGTACTGCATTTTCTTAGGGGGGAGGAGGGTGAAATGAAGACAAAGAAACATCTTTACTCTTGGGTTTTACATGCCTGAGAACTGTCATAGAAAACAAAAGAATGGAGAAATGAAGAAGTTAAGAACACAAATCAAATGACCAAAGATAGAA